GCACAAATGGTACACTAGGTACAAAAAAAAGCTAAAATGAGAGAGCAAAATGGGTGAAAAAGTAGTGAAACAGAAATGAGTAAATGAAACATACAAAGTCTTAACAACTCTACCAGCAAGGTACGTCATGCTTAAAATATATATTCTGGCTGGAATTTGCAGGTAGAACCAGAGGCTGAATTCACCAGGCCCAAGCAGGGATTAGGTAAGACAAAAGCTTAGTGTTTTTAACTATATATTTGCTTTGGAACTTGCAAATAGAACCCCACAGCCTGTTATGACAACAGTAGGATTCTGAGAAGGGGAAATCAAAATAGTTCTTTTTAAAAAATTCAAACTCTGCTTTGCTTTTAATTTGCCTCTAATTGGCTTTACTGTATTTATGTTTTAAAGTTCTGTGGCATTTCTGTTCACAAGAATATGTGTGTGGCTGAAAAACACCTGAATAAAATTGAATTGTGAGCTACTTTTTACTCCAAATCTCTGTTTCTGTGCTGTGCAATTAGAGTGCAAGCTTGAAATTTTTGCTCAAGCAGATTTGGGAAGTAATCAAGCTGGGTTTTGCTTCATGCTATGCCGCCGCCACTACACTCTAATGGGGGGTAACTCCTCTGTGTGGGAAAGACAGTTGAGGGAACAAGACAAATGGCCCTCCTTGGTCAACTCAAGTGGTGGGAGCTGAAAAGAGCAGCAGGAAACAGCAGGATAATCACCACTCAAGATCATACCATTTGATTTGTCCTGCCTCTTTTTCAAAATGGTTACAGAAGAGCTCTCTCAAGGCTGCATAATGTGTGACATGTGTGTGTACTATGCTGATTGTAGTGACTCTTGAGACAGAAGAAAAAACATTTTCCACACATTCATAGTTAACGAAGCCCAGCTCGGAACTCAAGCCTCCATACAGTAGGTCTCTGTAGGATTCAATAGCAAAAATAAACAATTTGAGCATGTGTGTGCACACTTATGCGCTATGGTCATAAAGATATATACTATTATCATTGATCTCTGACTGGAGATAATAAGTAGATTTTCCTTCCTCACTCTGTTAACAGCTGAGAGGGTGAATGAACAGGGAGTAGCTCTAAGAGTGGAACTTTGGGTGTGGAAAGGACTAGCTCTGGATTCTTTGTGAACTGCCCAGATGCCCCCCTTCTTTGTTGTGTACAGTATAGTCAAAGATTGAGAGAGGCTTGGTGGTGGTTACTGATGGCAAGGACAGAAAAACTGTCTGCACATTCCCATTTTCACTCACCTTCATGCACTGCATATTCAATTCTTTCAGCTGTTCAGTTCCACAGCACATTGCTACTGAGACATCCATGCCTTTTGCAAGCCATTTTCTCTTAGCTAATGTGCAGAAAGCAAGCAAGCAAGCAAGCAAGCAAGCAAGCAAGCAAGCAAGCAAGCAAGCAAGCAAGCAAGCAAGCAAGCAAGCAAGCAAAGAAAGAAAGAAAGAAAGAAAGAAAGAAAGAAAGAAAGAAAGAAAGAAAGAAAGAAAAAGAAAATTCACTCCTTGTGAATACTGACCACTACGAGACAAGCAGTCCATACCTACTCAAGGTATTCTCATTTGACACCTGGAGCAGTGGCCTTGATAGTTACTGAATGAACACAGGATAGGGTCAAGATTGGTCAAGATTGTGTCAGAACAGGATTGTACAAAGTTTAAAGGTCACTATTTTTAACACCATTTGGCATGGGGGACATGAGTGCTGTGTTTCTTGTATGAGTTTGCATGTGCTGAATTCATAGTTTCAAAAATTATTTGTTCATTCTTTTGCATCTTATATGCATTAGAAGCAACCTCTGATTAAGCAGACACCGCATAACACTATAACTCAAGTGCTAGGCATTATGGGGAGAAAATATGAGATATTCTAAAACTCAGCATAAAATCACAAGAACTGCCCACATGTTTACACACATATACACACACAAGAACACACTGCTACTAGATGCTACTCCATGTCCAGAGAGAGAGAGAGCAGATTGTTGTAAGTATTTGATGCTACAAATGATATTATCTATGGCTGCCAAGGCGTATATGAAAGCTCTCCCTGCCTCTGAAATTAATAGCAGTGTAGTTTGCCTCGGCGGTGTCTGCCAGCTAAGGTTGTAATCTAATCACACTGCTTTAGCAGCCATCACTTTTCCTCCCACACTGTCACATATGCCATCACATTGCATCACAGATTCCAAAAGCATGCCCAATCGGTGTAATATGCTATGACCTCTCTCTGCAACACATCCACAGATTTGTGGGGCTTGCCTTTGTTCTACACATTCGTGAGAGACCAAAATAACAAAAGCAGGCCTGCTGTGAAGGATACTGGAGTGGAGGAATGGATGTATGCAACTCCTCTTCCTCTGTTTACTGCCTGCTAACAAGTCAGATGGTCTGCCTATCAGAAAAGAGGTTTTCTGCAGCTCTATCTTATCACTACTGCCTTATGCCCTCTGTTGTTAGGAGTCACTCAGGTTCCGATCATCCCAGCTGCACCTCCAATTGGCTTGAAAAAATAAATAAAAGCAGCATGACAAAATAGAGAAGGATTTATTTCACTCAGAAGAAAAGGACAGTGACTCATTCAAGCCAATTGGAATTGCCGCTGAGATGGCTGGACCCTCCATTTCTGTCTTCACAATAACCCTGTGAGGGGTGTCACAATAAGAGAAGAAATGGCTGACCCAAGCTTCATGGCTCAGTGGAGATTTGAATCAGGATCTCCCAAGGCCCAGGCCAACACTCCGATTGCTCCCCCAACCCATGTTCCCATTTTGTATTTTGGCAAATTAGAAAATGATTGATAAATCACGCCCAATAAAAAGAAGCCCTTTGACTCAGACCTTTTCAACATAAATTTTAAACAGTGGAGAGAGAATTGTTGCCTCTCTGTGCAATCATTGGTACCATAAGATTCGTCAGCGTATCAGCCATGTTGAGTGGGTGTGTGTGTCTTTGTGTGGAAGTTGTAGTCTAACACAACCAGAGGGCACCAGGTTGCAGTAGGCTGGACTACAGGCAGTTCAGTTACTAGCTGCATGGATGTGAATATGATTCATTCGTCAACTGAGAAATGCAAGTGAAACCATAGCTCCTGACACCCCCTCCTCTAAAGAAACAGCCGCAAGCATCACTGTCAACCTTTAGCTGAACAGTTTCCAAAGTAGTCTGAGAGATGACAGATTCCCGTCAGTCTCGGGTAGCAATGAATTATAAATACACTACCAGCCCGCAGCCACCTGACAGGGTAGTCCTTGAGTCCTGCGACCTGTGAGGGAAGGAGCTGTCAGCTCTAAATTTGCACAGGGACACATGTTATATAAAACTGCATTAGTCTTTGACCTCTTGATAGATCAGCACAATAACTGGGCAGCCAGGCCAGACCAACCTGAAGGAATGTCACCCTTGTCTATGATGCCCAGTAATCTCACAGTACAGACAGCGTGACCCCATTATAATCCATGGGGGTTTGCCTATGGATGTCCACAGGAAGTAAGTGGTTCAAGTTAACTGTTATTAGACTTGTTTTTAGGAGCCTGTCACAAACTTGACAGTCTTGCAACTGGGACATCAGGTGGGCAGGGGGTATGATGGCTAGAGAGACATCCATGCTTATCTTCACAGCACTCTGGGCTTTGTTTTTATTGTTTCAAATCAACTTCTATCTATTTATTATCATTACTAATAAAGTGGCAAATTTTGTGCAGCCACCATAGCCTGCCACCATTCTTTCATAACATAGTAATTTTTCTTCCAGTCTTGGGTGATTCTGACATAAATTCTGGCATAATTTTTTATACTTTGAGACATATTGCTTGGTATAATGATCACAAGACCAGATAGGCCGGATATAAATAAAATAAAATAAAAAATAATGTATGTTGCATGTTTTGAATTGTTTTACATTGTTCAGTTTGTTTGGTGCTGATGTTTGGCTATATAAAATTCATTCATCCATTCATTCACTCACTCACTCACTTCTATCTAATGTTTCTTTTAAATGCACACACCAGATAATACAACAACTTCATTAAAGCAAGTGTAATATGTGGTCACTGAACTGATTCATTGGTGATTTAACTGGAATGCTAATATAAAAATATTGTATATAAATAAATAAAGGCTGTAAATACAATGGAAGAGGATGAGGGAGATAATTTCAAAAGCTTATTTCTACCAAGGTATGAAAGAAGCACTAATTCCTTATCCTGCTCCTCCTTGACTACAGAATGACTATAGAAGAAGAAGAAGAAGAAGAAGAAGAAGAAGAAGAAGAAGAAGAAGAAGAAGAAGAAGAAGAAGAAGAAGAAGAAGAAGAAGAAGAAGAAGAAGAAGAAATTCTTTAGACTTCTTTTGCAAAGCACTTTGAGGACATTGGCTTAAAAGAAAGTCTCTGAATAATGTAAGTAAATAAATATCTAGGAAATACATAAATAAATACAAATTCATACTTCTTGGTTCACAGAACAAAGGAGGTGAAAGAAATATTGCACATGCAAATAATAATTTGCACAGCATGGCAAAAATTAGAAGTGACATATCAGTCATATTAAATACGTATGCATTGGTACCATCCTGACAATAGTATTTCACACCCTAACTGATAGACTGAGGGCATATGCTGCTATCTCTTATTACAGTTAAAAAGATTCCAAGCTAATCAGTCTTTCAGTGGGAGACCCATGTAAATCACGGGGGGAGGGGGGAGAGAAATACAACATGTTTCTGCCCTAAAGCTTCCAAATTGACAGAATGCTTCCATTTTTTTAATTCCTAGGTATAGAATACCCTGGGTACAGAATACCCAGTCTTTGCTGAATGTGACAGGCCTGAGTACCTGATTACTCAATATGCCAGTAACATGGTTTTAACTTTTTGTATATTTGCTGAGATAGGGGGAGATTACTGTGCACTTTTTGATGTTGATGTGTCCTACAAGGTATTCTGATAACAAACTAGCTTTGTCAGCAGACTCTTTGCCTCTTTTTTCCAGAAATACCTTCCTGAACAAAGGAATGCTGTGAACCTTGACAACGGAGGCAATCAACCTACAGCCAAGGTTTTGTCTTTATCATTTAATGATACTTTTGGTGGGGTTGTCACACTTCAGACTGGCCTGAACAGACCCAGGAACACACCACCATATCCCGTGCTTGACACAACTATAATATCCAAGAAAACAGCTTTCCAGAGCTGTCAGTCACAGGATGTCCCAGCTCACCTCTCCTGTTGTTCTTGCCCAACTAGGAGACTGACATTAATCCCTGACTGCCAGCTCTTTGTACACCAAGAGGTTTGAAATAAGGAACTCATGTTTACATACCTCAGCTCCCCAAAATAACCTTTTTGCAGTAGCGCTAGCCCTACTCTTTGGCAAAGTGAAGCAGCTGCCTCAGCCAACACATCTTGAGTGTCACAAAAGGGTGGGAATTTTTTAATCGTTTAGTTTGTTGCTATGGTATTTTCACTGTCCCAAACAGAGTATTTTCTCCTTTATGCAACAAAAATATCTTGGCTGGCTTTGAATACTTTGCATCTTCACTTGGGGCAGAAGGCGTCAACTGTTCTGTGTCAGACAGCAAAATGTCTGGCCTCAGCCCTGCTTTGATCCTCTCCCAAATCCCACCTGCTTGCCACTAGGAGATTGTCCCCTTCAAGATATCCTAGCCATGTGTCCCACCCTAACCTTCATTTCTGCACTTGTAGGTTCCAGGCATGAAGCTCCTCCATCAGTTATATGTTTCATAAGAAAGCAAGTTTTCCAAAATCATGGGAAGGTTATTTAGTGTTAAGCTTAACCAACATGAAGATGGTGATACTGTATAAGCACAACTGCTCAGACAGACAGACAGACAGACAGACAGACAGACAGACAGACAGACAGATCAGACCTTTTATTGGATTCATGCCAGCCCACTATGATTGCATGTTCTTCTTCTTCTTTGCATTCCTTTCCTAGATGTGTTTGGAGATCGTCATAACTATTTTGACCTTGGATGTGGCAGCTGTAAGCAATGGTACAGTATTTAAACCAGTGTCCAAGGTTTCTCAAGCCAGTAAGTTCTCTTTTCTGCACTTCTTTCCTCATGTTTTTTTTTACCGTGAATAGAGAACGGCAACAATCTGTATTTTCATTTCTCATTATGTACCCCACATTTTATAGCTTTTTGCATTTTATGTGCTTTGTGATTTTTCAGTTTTTATTCATTTGCCTTAGTACTTCTTTACCGGTCACTTTCCCAATCCAAGAATTTCTTGACATCCTGTGACAAATCTGCATTTCAGATGCTTCCATCTTTTTTATAATAGCCTATATTTGAAGTTTGTGATTCCATGCCATACAGAGGAAATTAGAATATAAAGCACCATACCTATAAGGTGTCTATATTTGCTTATTAAAGTAGGTGGGGGAAATTGCCAAAAGGTGGGTTGATTTTAATATATGATTGACTATCAACACACTTTAAACTGTGTTGGTGGCTTCAGTCCAGGTTCTACCAGGCAGCTGTCCTCGTAACAACAAAGCATCACCCCCAACTGACATGACTAAGTAGTGCCTGAGTGGCATTCTGGCATTCTGGCAAACTACTTATGCAGCTAATGCTGAAACCAGCAGCTACATCTAGGCATGTTCTCTCTCTCTCTCTCTCTCTCTCTCTCTCTCTCTGTGTGTTTAAAATGGCAGGTATCACTACCAACTGTGAAATATTTCATTCTACTATCTATCACTGCTATTATGGCATTATAGAATGAAAACAGGTACTTCTAACAATAGATCAGAGCTGTCTAAATGTAAACTTTTCCAGAGGTTGGAGACATAAATATTAAAACCAATTCATTACTGTTAACATTTATTCAGAAATGAATACGTTGACATTCATTCTTTTGAGTGAATATCATAACTTTCATTTGTTGTGTTAATCATTAATACTGTAGTGCATTAGTAGCACATTAGTTTTTTTAAAAAAAAATTAAAAATCAAAGTTACTAATAATTCCCAACCTCTGAAAATTACCCCTTGCATAATAACAAATTATATTAGCATTATATAATATATTGCTGCAGACGTTTAAAAATTTAAATAATTATTGGTGTTTGGAGTTTAACAGTTTAATTATTTACTCTTTTAACAACTCAGGGGTGTCAGATTTATTTTAATTAATTATTCCCATCTTTTGCAATTTCCTCAGTCTATCAGAAAGTTGTATTTGATTCAACAATTTTAAAGTATGTGGAGAGAATGCATTCTTCCTCCTTTTTATTATTTGTTATTCTGTGGCAGCCAAAGGCCAGACTAACAATATAAAATATTTGGCATAAGTTTTCATGTACTGTAACCCACTCCTGCAGCCAAATAAAACTTGTTAGTCTTTAAGGACCCACAAGATGGCTTGCTGTTTCTATGGCAAAAGCTAACATGATGACCTGCTGGAACAATAAAACAATTTTATAAGAAAAAGTGGCCCTACTTTTGGCAAGTCATATGTCACTATATGAAAAAAGACAAGGAACAAGAGAATCCACCATTCTACTTTCATATGTTCTTTATGCTGAATGTTGATGGTGTAAAGAAACAACAAAGAAAGGAAGCCATTATCAAAATAATTTTTCTCATTGCAGCTTCTCTTGCAGACAAATCGTTTCTCCTTGAATGTACATTATAGTGGTCATGGAAGAGGCAGAGAGAGACATTCTTATCTGCTTTAAGTAGAGGTCAGAACAGTAAATTATAGGGGAAATTATCTATCTGAGCCACCAGCACCCATGCAGGTCTATGGGTCTGCAAGAAAATGTGATTTTGCAGAATTTATTCTCCAAGAATGACATAGTTGGGGAAGGGGAGGAAAGGGATATAATTGGATAATACAGGCTGGCTTCCCTATCAATTGTAGATGGAGGACATATAAGCCAGAATGAAACATGAGACATATTTATTGCTCTTATATCAAGCTGGGCTTCAATGTCTTGAAGTCTGTTTTGAAATGCAGAATTGGGATGGGGGAGCTTGAAAAGACCAAGATCCCAAGGCCCAAGCTGTATTTATTTATTTTTCTTTCAAAGAACCCTCATTCACTATCTATTTCAACAACATTTGACTCACAATGAACACTTACCTTATTTTGGTTGTATTAAATTCCTGAGGAGCACAGTACTCATTCAGTTTTGCCTTTCTTTGGAAGAAGGTGACTTGAGGCTTATTGTAGCTTTTGTAGCTTTCACATTTATTTATTTATTTATGGAAGAAGGTGACTTGAGGTTTATTGTAGCTTTCACATTTATTTATTTATTTATTTATTTATTTACATTTCTGCCCTGCCCCCCCTAGACAGCATCTACTCGGGGCGGCTTACAAATATCATAAAATATCATTAAATACAATAAAACATCACAATCATACAACATTTAAACAATAATATAGTGTGATCAAGATGGGGAATGAAAGAACACAAAGATAGATTTCAAGAATTGACAGGAGGGAAGGCCTGCCTGAAGAGCCACGTCTTTAAATGGCTCTTGAAAACACCTAGCGAGGGAGCCAGGTGGATCTCTGATGGAAGACTGTTCCATAGTCGAGGAGCCACTGCCGAGAAGGCCCAGTTTCTTGTTCTTTCTTTCCAGGCCTCTCTCAGCGTTAGGCCCCTCAACCATCCCTCCTGGCTATGCTGAGTAATTCGGGTAGATCTGGGTGGGAGAAGGTGATTTGCCAAGTACTGAGGTCCCAGACCATTTAGGGCTTTATATGTCATCATTAACACTTTGAAGCTGATGCGGAAGCGAAGTGGGAGCTGGAGTGGGAGAGATATGGTGGTGTTTTCTCACCCCACTAAGGAGTCTGGCCGCCGCATTCTGCACCATTTGAAGCTTCCGCATCAATCTCAAAGGTAGCCCCCCATAGAGTGCATTACAGTGTACAAATGTATACAAGGCTCTGCACAGATGGAGGCATGAGGGGCTATTCCTGACTGTTCTTGTCATTATCTGTTGATTTCTAATATCTTTTATTCTAAATGGCATCCCTTGCAAGAAGGACATGGTTTCTTTAATTAAAAAACATATTGATACATTTCTAAAAGAATGTTTTTTTGAAAACAACAGTGCATTCCATTCTAGCCTTACGAAGCCTGGGTCCAAGTCCCATCTCATCATATAACATGATCCCCAGAGGTATTCTGGCACAGCTGTTGCCATTTTGAGTGCCTAGCTGGAAAAAAAAATTGAGGTAGGAGGAGATCTACACCAATCTCAAACGGAAGTATTTACAAAATGCCGTTTCACCTAGGGTTGCCAGATACACGGGTACTAAAAGGAGGACATAGAAAGACAAAAAGGAGGACAAGGGAGGACATATTGAATGTTTCATTTGAATCATTCCAGATTAAATCCACAATCAATATATTTTATTACAATAGCTGCCAATAAATGTCTCTTAGTGAATTGACCAAAAAACAGTAATGTTAAAAAATAAAAATAAATTCTATGGAGGCTTTTTTTCAAAATACCGGGAGTGGGTGGGCAGGTGGGGGTGGGGAAAGCCAGAGGGAAGGGGGGCCTTCCACCTCTCTCCCTCCCATCAAAAATTATAACATAAAATATACAAAAGCCTGACATTTTAAAGATTTTTATCTTTGCCTGCCTGACGGAGGACATTAGGCTAAAAAGGAAGACATGTCTTCCTTTTGCCTGACATCTGGCAACCCTAGTTTCACCTCCCTTCCCAGACCAACAGTATGACCCCTGCACATGACTTGCACATTTCAGAGGGCATGAATGGTCTGCAAAGGTATCGAGGGAAGAATCCAAAAAATGCTGAGATTATGTCAACCTTAGCTAAAGGGCCTGGCCCTACCATGAGGCAGAGTGAGGCAACAGGTAACAGAATTTATAGCCTGTGTACTAATAAAAGTAAAAGATTGTGCACCATCACAAGAATCAGTGAAGTTCTGGAAGACTTAGGGAAAGAAAACTGAGTATATCTCCAAATGGCCCTGGTGGTGGTGGGGGACCAAATTATGCTTTATTGTCTGTTATTTTTACAGTGGTGCCTCGCTGAACGATTGCCCTGCATTACGATGAATCTGCTTTACGATGATCTTTTTTGATTGCAAAACGATGGTCTAAATGGGGGAATTTTGCTTTGTGATGATTGGTTCCCTGCTTCAGGAACCGATACTTCGCAAAACGATGTTTTAACAGCTGATCGGCAGCTTCAAAATGGCCGCCGGATTTCAAAATGGTCCCCAGCTGTTTTCTAGGGATGGATTCCTCACTATACAGCCAGAGAAAATGGCCGCGTATGGAGGATCTTTGCTGAATGGTGAGTTTTTACCCCATTGGAACGCATTGAATGGGTTTCAATGTGTTTCAATGGGGTTTTTATTTTCACTTTACGATGTTTTCGCTTAATGGTGATTTTCCTGGAAAGAATTATCGTCATTAAGCGAGGCACCAACACTCATTAAGACAGCCCACAGTGTTCAGGGCAGTGGAGGACACTGTCCTCTTGTCATTATCGGCTCAACTGCCTGTCTAGACTGTTCCTGAGCATGGAATGAGGGTGAGGGAGATGTAATCGTGTACTTTGCTTTGGGCATCAAAATGTCTTGGGTCACAATGTTCTTTCCTTTCACAGTCTCGAAACATTTTGATGTCATTGTTGGCCAGCTGCCTGAAGTTCCTCCAGCAAAGCAGGTACAAGGAGACTTTGGCTCCATTAATGCCCCCCACCCAATCCTCCTCGAAGCTACAACATTAATGTAAACTGTAATGGAGATTTTCAGCACATAAAGGATCTGCATGTTACCTGTACAGATCATGACACTGCTACCCATCCTGACCATAAGAGAGACAGATCTGAAGTTTGCAATATTAAGCATGTCTCCATCAGAAATATTTGGCTCTTGGAACATGCTCGGAATAGGTGCCAGTAGATAGAGCAGTGATACTCCACACAAGTGACTGGAAATGTTGAAGTCCTGCCAGGCTGCTACTACATCAACGACCCATCATATGTTCCTTCCAGGCAGGCATACCTTGGGCATGATCCAGCCAAAATTAAGTACATTTAAGTCCCAAAGATTTCAATGGGAGAGTCAGACATGTGCTTAAATCTCTCAGAGTTCAATCAGTGGCACTTAAAAGTGCTTAACTTTGGCTGGACTGTATCCCAGCCGTACAATACATATGCCTCCTTAGATTCCAAAGTCCCCCTCTCCATGAAAATGAAGAACATAATTATTTAGAAATGTGGTTAAACACATTTTTCTGTAAAAGAATGCAGTTTATTTACCATTTACTTTGTTTATATCTTCCAAACTAAAATCGTATTTTAAAAACTTGGCCTGTGTCCCATCTCCTAGCCTTAAAACCCACCAAGACTTTTTTTTTCAAATACTGAAAAGTCAAAAATAGTCTGATAAATGCAGCTAGAGCAGCAGCCAACCATGCTACAAGGAGCTGCAATTCCTGACATGGTTATACACCACAGAGGGAGAAAAATCTGCAAATGCAATAAAATTATTAATTTACCATCATTATTTACTTCGTTTCATTTTTGTAGTAAAATCACACTATTTCTCCAGAAATTATGGCAGTAAACCCATAATTCAACCTTCCATCATATAAAGGATTTAGAACTAGTTCCAGTGCCTCATCCTGTCACTGCTGAATTACAGGTTGCTTTGGCATTCCATTCATTATTCTCAAAAGGAACTTACCATGCCTTCTTTATAAATACTGTATAAATACTGTGTGTATATATATATACACACAGTATTTATACAGTATTTATAAAGGAGGCATGGTATATATAGCAGGCTGTTCTTCAGTGCTCTCCCCTTAGGAAACAATGGAAGGGACTGAAATGGCTAAGAGAAGTGTTTAATGCCATGCACAGGAGGGCTGAAAAGCCTCAGTATAGAACTTTGCCTCTCCATAGCAGATAGCCGGGAGCTGCAAGTGTGCCTTATCACCCAAAAGAACTTCAATAGAAATCTGGGCCAAAGAACCATTGGCAGATAATGCACCCAACCCTAAGGGGGCAGCATACTGACAACAGCAACAACAGCAGTAATGCTTGGATATTCTCTTAGCAGGAAGGCAACGTCAGAGAGCAGAATAAGGGCGGAAACAAGCGAGCACATTGTGGCAACAAACATTTCTCATCCGATGGCTTAAAGTGTCCATCCAGAGGCCTTGCCTCTTTGTACACCCCATAGACCAGCGTCCTGCAACCTGGTGCTCTCTAAATGTGTTGAATCACAACTCCCATCATCCCTGGAAAACCTGTGGCCATGCTGACTGTGAGGATGGGGGGTGTAGTACAAAACAGCTGGAGGGCACCAACTTGGGGACAGATGATACATGATTTCATGCCCAATCATTGCACTGTGCCTTGAAAATTGTAAGAAATTTTTATGATATTCCAGAAATGGGGGTAAAAAACCATTTGAAATACAGGTTCCTAAACATGTACATATTCCAAAAGTTCTCCAACCCGACTTCCTCTTGGCAGGAACTGAAGCTGTACAAAACTAAGCTGGTATTTCAAAACTGACAATATCCCCCCCTTGCCACTGCCCCCAGCATTTCAGGCAAATTCATCGCTGCACTAGCGGCCACAGTAATCATCCTTGTGGAAGACATGGCCCTTGAGAGGATGTCATCAGGTCTGAAAGGAGAAACAAAACCTTTTCCTGCTGATGGACTTTTTGGAGTGACTGGGATAGAGGATGTGGGTGGAGGGTGGGAGGGGAGCTGATAGATGGCAGGAGTGGGAGTTGTGAAGGGCAGGAGACTCTCCCAGGCATGACATCCAAAGCTCACTGCAGATGTTTTCATCATTATGGGAAGCATTTGTTGGTGCCTGTTTGCCCAGAGAAGCAGTGGGAGAGGAAGCACGCTCTTTAGTCCTAATTACAGCTGGGCATTGACCAAGAAAGAAAACAACAAGAAAACATACTAAGAGCATTTGCTGTATGAAAAGACAAGCATGCCGCCCCCCCAACTTTTTTTTACTAATTAACTCTTTGTGGCACTGCAAATCTTGTTGGTTGGTTTATTTATTTCCTTAACAATATTGACAAACTGCTTATAACAGAAGACTTCAATTCAGCACAAAGCAAAAAATAAAACATATACAACAAAAAAATGGTGCCAGTCCTACATTGCCCATGTAAATACATAGGAGGCTGAACTGCACTAGGAAGGCTTGCAAAAATGGGTGTTATTCTCAAAGTGGACCTAAAAATAAGAATTGTTAGAGCCTGCCTAATCTCATGGAGGAGAGTGTTCCACATGTGGAAATAGTAGATGCCTGCCAGCACACTGCCTGTTCATGCCTCCATGCTCCACAGCAGCAATTGTGGAAATATTCCCAATATTTCTTACCTTACGCCTAAGTTATCCGTCATCATATTGTAACCATACACTTGTTTCTATAAAATAGATTAACAAGGCTTAGTTTCCCCCATTTTAGAGTTGGAGCAGGAATTGCAGTCCCATGAATTCTTGGCGCACATGTGGGCTTGGACCCTCCCAACCCCGTCCTTTCCCCAGCAGCCACTCCCACTCCCCTCCAGGGCTAGGCAAAGGATTGAAGGATATGGCTGAATGGAATGAGCTGGCCTGTGCTGATGAGAGAAGGAGGGGCCCTGAAAATCAGATGGGGCCCCTTCCTTTGCTGGGTATTTTGCAGGGCTAGTGGAATTGCTATGGGAGGCAGTGGTGGGTAAATCTGCTTTAGCCAGCCCGCTTGCATGGATCCAACCCATTTTGCAAACTGAGATAATAGAAAACTAGACAGCACTACTTCAGACTTCTAGGCAGGAAAGAAAAGGAAATTTCTTAATGCTTAGGAAATGGATCCATGCCTCAGGGAGAAAACTTTTAGCTCAGTGCTTCTTCTGATATCTTAGCTTCGTCTATGCTGCTGAGCATTTTTACATGGGAAGACCATTCAGAAGTAACTCACAGATGCACACTTGTACCACTGCAGCACTCTAGAGCAGTACAGTCCAAATTTTACCACCCAGTTCTATATAATGTATACAGACTCTAAGTAATGTTATTATTTATCCATTTCCAGCCTACATTTCCTCTGCTGAGCTCAAGATGGCATACATTACTTTTCTTCTCTCCACTGTGTCCCCAGCAATAAACTGGTGGTGAAGTCAGACTGAGAGATGAAGTGGCTGCCCCAAGGCTACCCAGCAAGTTTCCCGGCTTGGTGGTGATTTAAATTTTAAAGTGTCTTCTATATCCCAGGGCAGTATTGCGGGCACTACTATCTGTGCGAATAGTAATTGTTATTATAGCAGTTAGTGCAGTGGATGTATGTTCCAAATTTAGCAAGTAACAAGATACAAATAACTAGATGCGTGTGATTTATTCGTTTTTGTCGTAACTGAGGCATAACTAAGTTACATTTTAATGTTTAAATTATCCGTGGATATCTTTGCCCACTTTAGATACTTTTATGTGTCGCCTGCATAATGAACTTGCAAACCACCCATAGAGTGCTTTAAACACTATGGGGCAGTATATAAGCAGAACACTTTATTTTTTATTGTTACAGAGGGTGGAATTGTCAGTGTCGTTGTCTATACCTTGTTTCCCCGAAAATAAGACCTAACCTGAAAATAAGCCCTAGTAGGCTTTTTCAAGATGCTTGTAATATAAGCCCTACCCCAAAAATAAGCCCCAGTTAAGTGAAATCCTGCCCTCCACCATTGTGCAGCAACCAGAAGAAGATGACATGACTGTATTTGAATAAATGTAGATTGCTATACATGGAAAAAAAAATCCTCTGAAAATAAATCTTAATGCGTTTTTGAAGCAAAAATTAATATAAGACCCTCTCTTATTTTCTAGGAAACATGGTACATAGGTAGTATACTGCAGTAGAAAGAGATATGCCACAGACCAATAACTTTCTCATGATTTTTAGTTTTAAAAAAGGTTCACTACTCTAGTTGCATCTGAATAACAAAAAAATGAATGAGTTACTCTATCTAAGGAAATGTCCATTAAAGTTCTTGCCACAATAAAGCTGTTAGTCTCTAAAAGTGCCACGATTCTTTATTTTGCTGCAACAGCCTAATCCAGGTATGGCTATGGAATTTTAAAAATAAAACTAACACTGTTATTTATACTATATAAGAGTATATATTATATACTACAACTATATAATATTAAAATGGTAGTGGAAAACCTCTAAAGAGGCTTGGAATCATACTGCTAAATTATTGCTTTTGAAAAGTAACTATTCAGGTTGAATAAAATTAAGTGGTCTTGTAAATGTCACACTCTACCACGAAGCTGCTGTTTTGTATGCCAGCTCCCATCACTTCCTGGCCCCAAATTCACCCCACTAGAGCACCATGGACAAATAAAGGAAATAGCTGTGCTCATCCTTTTTCAAAGCTAAAAATGGGCATTCTGGATTCCCTCAAGTTGACAAAAGTCCTGTGCCTTGGTGGAGAGTAAAATCCAATGTGACTAAAACCACTCCCTCACATGCCTTCCAAGCTTCTCCTGCCTGGAGGAGACAGGAGGGGTGCACAGCAAACTCCCCCCCCCTGAAAGTGTCCACTAGTTGGGAGGGGCACCCTGGTCGTTCCTGCTTTCCAAGTGCAGCTGCTGCCAGCCGGGGCCATTTCGATTCCTCTTATCGGCCACCTCTAACCCCTAATTTACCACAGGCCTGATAAGGCCGCAGGCTGCGGATAGCCCTGACAGTCCCCAGGCCTAGACAGCAGGCAGACGGAAACCCTGGCCGAGTGTCCAAAGAAGGCCTTTTTGAGACTCTGTCTCAGGCAGTTTGGCAGAAGGGTCGACATTCTGTTCCCAGTCCCTGAAGACCCTTATGCCTCTGGCGGCCTAGAAAACACACACACACACACAAGTTTGTGGCACAAGCTCAGAGGACCAATCCTGCTTCAACTTCTGTATCTTTTACCTCAACCAGAAACTCTACAAAGGAGGCGGGCAGGTTTGTGTTTTGAACCACCGCGCTCAGGATTCCCTATGCGGCCTCCTTCTGACAAGTAGAATACAGTAGTTCCTGGCACGGTGTCCCCAAGCTTGGCACTGCTTTCATGGCTGATTTTTCACCTGTAGCACAACAGTTTGAAAGCACTTAAGCCTGTGTCTAAAGTTGGAGGTTGGAATGAGACACTATTCCAGAGCTGGATGCTTTGACCCCTCACATAATTTTTGTTGGTCTACAACTGCCATCAGCACCAGCCCGCCTGCGAGGAATTATGGGAGTCGGAGCCCGAAAGATATCCCAAAGGCTGCAGTTGCCTGCTTCTTTCTCAATTCTCTTCGAAACACGTATAGTTAAAGCAGTCCTATAATAATAATTGTGTATCATTAAGTCCATTCTGGTTTATGGCAACTGTTTTGCAAGGTTTTCTAGGTAGAGAGTACTCAGAAGTGGTTCACCGTTTCCTTTTTCTGGGGGCACCTAAATGAGTTACCCAGCCAGCAAGACAGTCTTATGGATACTCCAACTGATCTATGCAATCGAAGCCATGTGACCTTTGGTCCTCCAGATGTTTTGGATTGCAAAGACTAGCTGACCTATTGTCCCATCCCGAATCTTGTTCATTAGTGTGTACAGCTAATATATGGTCATTTAATACTTTCCCACCTGAAGATGCGCCTGGGTGAGCCTGAACTGTTCTGCCCACTGAGGTTTTCTCATGTCCATTCCCAAATGGGAAAAAGGTGAGGGGCTAGCTTGTGTGGCCACATAATTTATGCCCCCCCCCCCAGGGAAACGAACACGACTTTTAAAGATATGAGAAATGTCAAGCGTTTTTTTTTCTGATTTAGGCCAGCGTGAAGGTATCAAACAAGTTTTAAAACAAAACAAAAAAACGGTTAAAGAAACGTCTTGAATTGCTGCTTGAGCTAGGCAAGCGCCCTGCCAGAAGAAAAAGTGGGCAACCCTGCTTCAGAGGATGTGGCCCATACGAGTGTAACCTCCCCAGTTCTCTAGCAAGCCAACGCTCTGACTACTAGACAATGTGCCGCTAGGAGCGCAGCTGGGCGCGGAGGAGATGCCTGCCCCCCCCGCTCCCCTCCCCGCCCCGGCCGGGTGTTCAAGAGGCAAGGACTAGTCCTCGCGAGGACTTTTTTTCGCGGCGGCTCCTCACCCGCTAGGCGGGCTCGCAAATCGGTTTGGAGAACGTCTTCCCCGGCAGTCGACAGTTTCCGCCCCAGAAGCTGAGAAAAGGGGAGGGAAAGAGACTAAACACCGGGAGCGGAGGAGCCGGAGGCTCACTGGCAAGAGAAGCGAGCGGCTTCTTCCAAAGAAAGAGCCCGGTCGGAAAAACCAGCCCGTTGCCAACATTAAATGGGGGTGGGGAGAGAAAAGGACAAAATACGGTGGCGCTTTAAGGACCCACGGATTTGTTTCAGTGTGAGCTTTCCACTCAATTTTTTTAAAAAAACGTTAGTCTTTACACCACCGTATTTTGTCCCGGTCCTCCTCCTCCTCCCCCTACTTAATTTTTTTAACAAGGAAACTGAGCTCTTCCCCCGCCCTCTCTCTCTCTCTCTCTCTCTCTCTCTCTCCCTCTCGCCCCCCCCCGCTCCCGTCATCAGCCCTCCCGGGGTAAATGGAACACCGGTCTCCCCAGGGAGCGAGCACTCTCGAGGGGTCCGCTGGCTTTCGGAAGCCCGACCCGGGTTCTCAACGCGTCCTTACCTGGAGAAAGGCATTTGCTCTCCTGAGTGGGCGGAGGGATGGTGGCGGGGGGGGAGGGGAGCAAGTGAGCGTCGGCCCTCGTCCGGCTCTCAGCTGTAGTGCATACCTATTGCTGTTCGGTGCTCTCAAATCAGAGCTGACTGATAGCGACCCTAACAGGGTTTTCAAGGTAAGAGAGGAGTAGTTTTACCAGTTCCATACCCCAAGTGAGTTTCCATTGCAGAGCCGGGGAATCGAACTCTAGTCTCCTTAGTCCATGACTCTATGCATTACACCACACCGGGTACCCACTGCATATTTGCCTGCCGTTAGAGAGCGTTTAAATCCTACAAGGGATTGTGCACTCGATTGAATGTAGCAAAACGTCTTTATTAGTTATACAAAAACAGGCAAGCTTTCGTGTCCTAAAGACAAACAGGGGTGAGGAGGAGATGCAGGAAAGTCCAGAAATCGTTCTGCCCAGGATGATTTTGGAGTTCTCTGCTTTTCCAATGTTCAGTCTCAAGAAGAGTCCTTCAGGACGCAAAAGCTTGCCTATTTTTAATATTTTGTGGTCTAAATTATAAAATATTGCCAATTCTTAGTTTTTTGAGTTTCTACAAGAACAATAACACTTTCTTCTAATTAGGAGATGACGGGAAATTATTACTGTGATATTATACACACACAGAGAAAGTTATGTTTGTGAACTAAGCTTTCCACAGAGTTTAGCCAAAGCTAGAAACAGGTTTAGCTGACTTGATTGCTCAGTAGGCTAAGCATCTGGCTACTGAGGCAGAAGTTGTGGGTTCCATATCGCACTGTGTCTCGGATGAGTAGAACTAGCCTGTGTGATCTTGGGCGCAGTCAGAAGAAGGGAATTGTAAGCCACTTCTGAGTGTTCTCTAACTAGAAAAGGAACTCCATAAGTTAGAATTGACTTAAGGGCACAAGATTATTATTAGAAAGACGTTCAGAGTTTGTTGATTTCAAGGAGCCGTAGGTTGAAACTTATTGACTGCGCGTGTCAGTGCTTCTTTGTACCTTTACTTCTTTGTACCTTTACTGAGACGTAGGTCTCCGTGAATGAGATGGGATGTAACTTTCGAGTAGGTGTCAACAGAGAGTAAATGAAATCGGTTCTCTCTGTTGTATTTTTTTTAATTCAGTCCCTGTTTTATGGTGACGATTACCGGCAAATGGTTAAAATTCCCCTATTTTACAATTTAGACAGATGTTTAATTCAAAGTGAACATTCTAAAAGAAAGGAATGAAGGGAAAAGTTCTCCTGGAAGACGCAACTTCTTCGGGCGACATTAACTGAATGTTGTCTTTCGTTTCGGCGAGATTATTGAAATCTCAAGCAGGAATGGTCTGGAACAAAACGAAACCTCTTTTCGTTTCCCCCTCCCTTCGGGAGCATCGGAATGAAGACAGAAACACCAACACCAACACCAACACCCTCCCAGCCCGCCCCCGACAGATTCAAAACAAGCAAGATACGGGGGGAAAAAACATAAGCCAGTCTGGACAAAACACAAAACCTAATAAGGTAATTTTCAAAACACGCTCGCTCATACCGCACATCACAGCTATTTCTACATTTAGTACAGTTGTGTCCCGCCTTTGCAGCAAATGGTGCTCAAGACGGCTAATCTTAACTACAACAAAAACCAGGTCTGCAGTATAGTTTCATGAGACAGGACCAACCCCAGGAAACTATTTTCTGCTGAATAAATTCAAATTCAGAAGGCTATTCAAACGAAAGCTGGCATTCTGCAAAAAAGACAAATGGGAGGCAGCCAGTTTAGCGGCACGCGGTCAGTTTCCCCATCAAGCTTTCTTGATGTTCCTTCCGCTGTTTGAGGCTAAACATAAATGAGACTTTTCGTTCTACCCTTGAGCCGGAACCTGACA